AGTAGTAGTAGTAGTAGCAGTAAGTACTAAGTGGTACTAGTAGTGGTGGCAACAGCAGGTGTTCGTATGAATGGACTGCCAGGGGATGTCGTCGCTCATCATGCTGCTCAAGTGCGTGAGAGCCAGCTTCAACACCCTGTGCTGGTCATTGAGCTTCATCGTCGTGCTTCAGTGCATGGCAGGTATGGTGGTGTCCCCAGTCTTCTGCATCAAGTTTTGGCTATTGTAACGGCAAGGACAGGCGTCTTGTTCAATACCTTGCGTGCGAGGTCATGAGCCAGGTTCTTTGGCCGTACATGAAAGACGAGTCTGCGGACCTGGATGAGAGGAGGGAAGTCTTCAGGCGGCGCGTCTGCACATTTGCGGAGCTCAGCATCTGCACGTTCACTTCGCAGCAACCATTGAACCATCCAAGAGCTGCGACACTTCCTGCACCACTCTTCGTAACCCTGTGACTCTCCGCTATCTATCTTGAGATACTCAGATACTATGGCACGTTCACTGGAACGTTCCTCACCATGTTCGAGGCCAGACGCTTGACACTTCTTGGCATCCTTGCCACGGTGTGAGGAGATGTGTCGTTCTGCGAAACAATGGTGCCAGACCTACATGTAGAGCATTTTGAAGCCCAGCTCTTCATAGCCAGCTCGCATCTTTCAAGCTTTGGATGCACTGCGTTTATGCTATGGCAATCGCTACCCACGACGGCACCGCGCAACAAAGACCTAGCAGGTGTCTTGCCATGAGGTTACCGTTACCTGCTCAAGACCGTGGCCAACGAATGGAATGTCAGATGATTCCCTTCTGCAACAGACCGACTCCTTGAACTGACATGTTTATGAAATATATGGATGCAACACATCATACGACGACTCTCGTGGAAGAGTTAGTTTTGTTGCAGTCTGGGCGGATTGAAATCTTAGCTTGCAAGATTTTGAAATGCTTCTAGCGGCAATGTCGTGACAGCGCCCTCACCCTCCAAAAGTCCTAAAGTGCACCGAGCTCCTCGAAGAGGTGCTTTAAGATTTGGCCGAACACTGAGGTCTTGCCCCCTTGGCCCCCGGCCCCGCCCCTTCCCTGACGATATGCAGTCACCTAGCCGTTGTGAACTTCTGCTCTCAAACATATCGCCTCACATATCTGTGAGCTGTGTGTGGGTCAAGCTCACATCAATGCCACAAGCACGTTCGCTCGCACATAGGGCTCAGACAAGTGTTCGCCGCGCATTACGAGTCGCTCTTGACACATTCTATCTGAATTCGAAGCCGAAACCAAATGCCGTTCTCGATGACTATTTCGTCCAGTGGCGATGGATTATCCCGTTCTTCGCTCCTACATACCGTTTTTACCTGAAAGCTGGGCCACAGGACATTGTAAGTGCACTGCAGTCGTTGTGCCACAAAGGGCTGGTTCCAGTTGTCTGGCCTGGTATCCGTTATCCGATGTGTCATCCTTCTAGCTTCTTCGTGGTATCAGGTGTTGCTGGCAAACTGGGCTCCTCCGGCCAGAATCCTTGCCGCTCAATTGCTTTCAGTTTTTCTGTGTCTCCAACTTGCTACACAGGTAAACTCTTTACTTGAATCCTGTCCCCACCAGGCCAAGAGTGTTCACCAACCCCCCCCCCCCCCCTCTGCTCCACCACGAGTTCTGGCTTGGCAGTCCGAGGTGGACTACGTCAGTGACTGGTTCGTCTATGTGTTCGTCGTTTACCGCTGTGTGGTGGGTTTTGCCGTCCTGAACGTAGATTCTCGCCAGCATCTTTCAGGAAAGTTCATCAAGAGCTGATGGGTCAACTTCTCCTTGCTACGCAAGAAGCGTTCCTACGATGTCACTGACTATGAATGAAGGTATCTGCTGTCTTCATTCAGCAGACGATGAGGGTGGCACAGGCAGTCGGCAGCACTATCGCGAACAGGCTCTGCCCAGATGCTACTCAGTGCCTTAAGGCAGATCAGGAGCTCATTTTGAAGCAGCGGCTCAGCCGCTTGCTTGCACGATGGGCCGAAGACTTCGCCTGGAGACTCGCTGAGCCTCAGCTTTGACCAAGGATCCGAGCAAGCGTATGCTGCGAAGATGAGATGCTCGGGGGCATTTGCTAAAGAGTGCAGTCGCTCAATGTCAGAGAGGGGTGCTGCTATGCAGTTGTGCAATCGGCGCGCGGATCAGATTGTGAAGGGCTTTGCAGGATCCGTAGTTTTGACTTCCCGCCATGTGCCTGAATGGTAGCAAAGGCTCCCTCTGAGCCATTGCCTCCCGAGACCCCTCGTTGGCACTTTCGTCCACCAGTCCCTGCGGGCCAGCGACCCTGGAGAAACTTCACGGAGCATTGTCGAGAGAAGATCGGGAACCGGCCCGAGATTCCACCGGCTCCGGGAGGTTTGTCCTTGGAGCCCTTGGAGCGACGTATTGAGGCGCCTCAAAGCGGGCCCAGCCCTGGCAAAGAGGATTTGTCCGCTGCGCGGCTCTGCTTAAAGCAGGAGATTCGCGCAGCTCTGCGTCAGTGCTCCAGCATTCAAGTGCTTGATGCCACACTTGCAGCGGCCAGAGGCAAATCAAAGCCTCCATTGGAAGGCCGTGAACCCTTGAAGAAGCTGCTAGCTGTGCTGCGACCGGCAAAGCAAACCAAGGCGGCACAGGGTGCCCGTAAAGTTGGCACGCTAATCTCGCAGGCGCTGCGCCAGGAGATTTCCGGGTTTTTGGGAATGTGTCAACGAGAGGGCATTGCTCCTGCTGCGCTGCCTGCAGGGACGTGCATGTTTAGTTTGTAGGGGTTCCCACAGACCAAGCCTATCCGATTCTTCCAGGAGGAGAGCCACCGGCGCTTTTCACTGGTGCGCCGAAGTGGGCGTGGGGACAGGAAGAAGGACCGTCGAAGCCCGCGAAAGGCGATCTTTCGGGGAGAGAACGAGCTGGCATCCATGCTGCAGTCCTTTGAGCCGGAGGTTGCGGACCTTAGCCAACTTATTCAGGCAGCCTTTCGCCACCTTGGCCGTGGTGGACGACTCAATAAGAAGGACCTTCGCAGGGCTTTGCGACATTGTGGCTTCAAAGATGTCAAGAGCGATTGGCTAGAAGAGATCTATGAGGGGTTGACGATGGTGAACTTCATTGGCAGTGAGGATTTCGAGAAGCTCGTGAACGAATATGATGAAAGGCAGCGGCAGGGATATCTCCAAGCCTTTAGAAAGTTCGATGTCGACCAGAGTGACCAGATTTCGACGGAAGAGCTCCAAGAGGCGCTTCGAAATTGTGCTTGACATGTGCCGGCTTAGAGAGAGTTCTGAAAGCGTCTCGTGTGTTTTCATTCTGTACACGCCACCAGACTTCGCCAGATCTGTGCACCTACGAACGAAGTCAGACTGCGAGAGGTTCGCAGTCTGCGACCATGGGGGCAGAGAGCGAGGGAGACAGTATGTGAAGTGGTGTTGAAGCAGGGTCACCTTCGAGTACGATCATCTGCATTGCGTGAACAGCCCTCTTAAGTCGCACGTGCTGTGGGTCGAAGTTGTATGTGGCGTGCGAAACTTCCTGTGTGACGCAGAGGTCACAGCCAGTTAGTTTTTCGAGATGTCCCACCGGTAGGTTTGTATTCCGTGGGACCCCTTGTGCCGAAAGCTGCAGGCCACTTGCAGCCTGCAGGCCATGCAAAGAAAGGCAAAGAAAGACACGGAAGGAGGGCAAGAGCGAGAAGATGGGAAGCAGAGAGCGGGTTGTTTTGTCAAACATATGGGAGACAAGTGCAGCGGTGCTTGAATTCGGATGGAAGTGAGTCTCGGTTCGCAACACGGTGCCGCTCAGCTTCCATTCTGATCGTTCGTTCCACGTGGTATAGGTTGGTGAGTTTACTCCTCGGGCTGAGATCATGTCGTCTAAATTAGGGTCCCCTTTTTAGCTCCCAAAACTAGTACGGCACGCCACAAGGAAGGACCTAGTTTAGAGAACTAGTGTGCCGGGTTTAAATCAGGGTTTTATGGGGTGGAAACAAATTTGTGTGAAGCACCCTAAACCCTAAACCCTCTGTACAGGGGTCTGCTCCCCTTGCTTTACGGTACACGCGGCCTCCATGCTAGGATCACCTTGTTGAGAGACGGGGATGTACTCATCAGGCTAGAGGATGATATTACAGGGGGCCATACTAATTACCTACATGATTTTGGTATAAAAAATACTATATAATACAGGGGCCTCAATTAATTACCTACATTATTTTGGGGGTTCCTTATAAAGTTATAGTATACTATACCCCAAAACCCTATTCGGATTATTAAGGCGTCTAGAGTATGTGGAAAGTGCAAGATGCAGCAAGGCGCGACTGGCCTCTTTGGCCAGTTGTGTGGGTTTGGGGATGTGGGCGGTTGGGGTTGAAATGTTTCGGGCTTACATCGCAAGCGACACCCTCGGTGTTTTTTTGTTGCGCGCCCTTACTCCGGATACAGCACTCCGGGATGTTTCAGCTGCAGTCTCACTTAGGGCACCTGCAAGTCGAAAGGCGCTAGCCGTCGGAGCTAGAACCCTGAACTCTGTGCAAGCCTTTTGCCACCAGAGTCTGAATGGACATCCGCATCGACTACAGTGCGCGTAGAATGCAGGATATGGGTACGTCAGCGGAATGATTCTAGTGTGATCTAGCACATTTCGATGTGCAAGAACCCGCCAGAAGACATGCTCGCAGCATCCGGTCTAGTGTTTGGAGGGATTCTGTCCGTCTGTCTGAAATGCTAAATCTGCATTCAAAGGCACGTATGTCGAACTGCCCCGGAATGTAGTGCTCGGCAAATGGATCTCAAGTCTGCTGGGCCAGCGATTTCTTGGAAGGTTGTTCTAGCCAGTGCTAGGAAGACGAAACTTGGCAGGGCTTCCAAGAAGGCATGGCGCGTGGATGTCGGACGCTTCGGACGGGTCCCTGCAGTTGTTACTCGAGTGACAGAAAACAAGCATCTTCCTGACAACACTGCCGACGTACAAAGTGCTCGACACAAGAATTCGTGCGGGGGTTTCCTTTTTCAGGCATTGCAATTCACTTCGAGGATCATTCGATTTGTATTGTAGTCTTTTGCTGCCAAATTCGCCGAATCAGCCCTCATACTGGGGGATGTGCCTTTGTAAGACTGGTCTCTGTGTGTGTGTGTCCGCCCGCGAGTGCCTCTGTGTGTGTGTGTGTGTGTGTGTGCGTGGGGTCATCATGTCTGAACGAGTAAGTTGCACAGGAGAGCTGCCATGCTGGAGTACACACTGACTACAGCACTTGACAAAGAACTGAGTGGCTGAAAACAGCTGGCGTTGTAGGAAGCTTCGGCTCACCTGTTAAGCTCTCCTGTGACAGCTGCAGGTCTTCCGGTCCATGCAGCTGGTGGTGCAGCCCAGCTTGTTGCTTGAGATCATGAGGAAGGTGGATTACGATGACTCTGGCGAGTTGTCCTTCGACGAGTTCGAACAGTTGATGAAGTTGCTGAGCGACTCTGATGGCTTCCCGGAGACTGAACACCAGGAGCTCAAGAAGGCCTTCCAGCGATTTGACAGCACCGGGGATGGCCTGCTCGACTTACAGGAGTGAGCTCCAGCCGAAACACTCATAGCCTTGGCTCATGAGCATGCCAGGGCTTGCACCTTTTTGTTTACCAGTGTGTCACATCTGTCTTCACCCTGCAACCTTGCGAGTTTTGCAGGAGTTCAAGAGCACGCAGGGCTGGCTTGGCTACCAGCTGAAGGAGAGGGTCCTGGAACAGATCTTTCGAGATGCGGATTTCGACGACCGGGGCACCCTCGAGTACCCGGAGTTCGTGGAAGCCATGAAGGCAGTTCGCGAAGTCGAGAGGAAAGAGATCCAGAAGGTTTTCGAGGAGCAGGATCAGGATCGTAATGGCTTGCTGTCACCCACGGAGCTGGAAGGTGCCCTGAAAGTCCTAAACTATGATTGCGACTTGCAGGTGGTGCTGGAGTGTGCGGCGCAGGTACAGGATGCCAAAGGGGGGCCCAAACGCCTGGAGCTGAACTACGAGGATGCCTTGGATTTCCTGCAAAGATACCGAAACTGCGAGGGCTTAAATCAGGCCGAGCTCCAAGACCTCGAGCTGGCCTTCGAAAGATACGAGGGCGATGCTGGTTTCGTCCGTTCCCGCGACGTCCACAAGGTCCTAAGCTGGTTTGGCTATGACCTTTCCCCGCAGGAAGTGGAGCGCTTCGTGCGCAAAGCGCAGTGCAACGAGGGGCATCTGAGCTTTCAGGAGGTCAAGAAGCTCCTGCGCATGGAGCGGGAGGAGGCTATGCAGCAGTACGAGAGAGTTTACCGTCGAGACCATGGCGCGATGGAGATCGGTAGTCAGCAGGCTGCCTTGCTTTTCGCGGAGCTGAACTTGGAAGCACGAAGTGCGAACTCCAACTTTGAGCTGGGCCTTGCGTCCGCTTTCCGCAAAGGTGGTGCGGGGTTCTCTCCGGAAAGCTTTGTTCGAACCTGCCTGAAGCGGCGCAAGGGCAAGGCTCAAGACCGGAGGGAAACGGCTGGTTTTGACAAGGAGATTGGGCAGTTGAAGGAGCTTTTCGTAAGCCTTGCCAAGGGCCCCCAATCAGCCCAGCGCCGAAGGGATCCAGACTTAGCACTCTCTGCCGAAGAGGTTGCACATGTTGCCCGGATCCTCTTTTCGTTTGGGGTGGTGGAACCTTTAAAAGCAACCTTGAGTGAGCTCCTTCGGGATGTCGAGCGTAGACCGCCCATCGCCTTCAATGCCTTTCTGCGCCACATGCGCTTCTTTGTCGACCTGTTTGCAAAGGATTACAACTTCCGGGAGCAATGGGCAATCCGAGACACCGGCTTCTCTGCTAAGGAAGTGGAGGACTTCCGCCAACTCTTCGTTTCCAATCTGGATCACCGCGAAGGCCTCGTGTCCGTCGGACAGCTCATGTCTCTGCCAGAGTTGAGTCGAGCGCTGCCGCTGGCCTCTGATATGGGCTCCGTCCTTGGCGCTGTGCACCAGGTGAAAGGTGAATCTCTGCAGATCTTAAACGGCACTCCCAAGGCAAAGCTGGAGGATAAGAACGCGGTGATTAACTTCCCACAGTTCCTGCGGATTGCCAAGCAATTCCTGGAACAAGCAGCCAAAGACAAAAAAATCCAAGGGCTTCGGGAACTCAAATCTAAATCCTTCACCCGCAGCCTCAGCAAATAGCTGCGCTTGGCCAGGTATTCCCAGGCCAATCTCGGAAGACCGATGCCCGCCTGCGTGGAAAATCCATGACGGCGCTGGCTCAGGCTCCTATGACAAGAGTTGCTTTAGAGGGCAAGCGGCTGAGCTGCAGAGCCCCACTGTGGAGCCAGGAGAGAAAGATGCGCGAAGAGACCCGTCAAATCCATAAAGTTGCACTCAGGCGGATGTGGAGTCTTGTTGTCCAGCATGCGTTCCAACCTTCAACGTTAACCCTGAACCCAAAGCAGTCATGACCTCTTTCAGCTAAGTCCGAGCTCGAAATGCCTTCAAGCAGGAAGCGCTAGGACCAGAGAGGACTGCTTTGTATCCACCTTCTCTCGTGACCACCCTGTCGCTAAAGTAACTTTTTTGGAACCCAGGGCCAGGATCTCCCGAAAATGTGCCAACATTACATTAAGTGGTGGGGGAACTTTCCATTCTGGTCTTTAAGTCATTCGCATAGTGCAGCAGAGTCTGAGGAGAGTTCTTCGACAAGTTGGACACCGACCACACGGGCTTCTTGACATGGCAGGACGGCAGGTTAGCACTGTGCCTCCGCTTTTCACTCGTCAGGCCGTGTAGATACGTCGTGCCATCCGCCGAAGCATGTCCGTGCGCCAGCCTAAATTTCACGGCGCGATGCTGGGTGCCTTCGTTCGGGCGAATCGTCGAAACTGCTGTCTTTCCGTCTTGCAGGAGTTTAGCGAGGTCCTCCGAAAGCCTGAGCTGCGATCCTGGATGGCAACCTTGGAGCTTGAGACCTACGACCTGGTGAACCTCTTTCACATGATCGATGACGGCTGCTCGCTTTCGTAAGGCAAGTCAAGAGATCTTCTGGAGCTGCAGCTTCTGCCCTAAACCCTCAACATCCCTCAACCCCAAACCCAAAACTGAGTCCAATGGCTCAGGTGACGGTGCTATCACCGTTGCAGAGTTCCTCGATGGAGCCATCCGCCTGCGAGGTGTGGCGAAAAGCCTGGACCTGGCGCAGGCCGGTGCGGACCTCACTCCGATTCCCTTCCAGCAGTGACATTGATAGACATTGGCTTATATATATATATATACACATGATATACAAACGTATAGACGATATGTATGTATATATGATATACATATATATATATATAAATATAAGCTACCTCCCCTCAAGGATCTGTTTGAGAGCCGGAGCCAGAAGACATGAAGATTTGTTTGGATTTGTGCTCGTGTGGGCATCACGTTAGCATTGCATGAAGAATACATCGCAGCAGGGTTTCTTCTTTTCAGCATAAGAACTGGTGAGAACACAAAAAGGTTGAACACGCTTGATTTTGACTTTGTTATAAGACGGACTGGTGGGATGGATTCCAGGGGCAAAGGTCCAATGTAATCCAAAGGAGTGAAAAGAGGAAGTGAAAAGAAACAAATGCGTGCTCTTTCTATTCTTTACTGCATGTGGTTTTAACCTTATGAGCAGTGTGTTTTAATTATGAACGAAGACTAAGGAGCCATGTGTAATACAAAGGAATAACGTGTATGAGTGATTAGTTCATTTGAACAAAGCCCACAACGCGGAATGACAAAGCACCTGCATTTTTGACGGCACATCTTACGAAATATAATTTTTACCATGCAATTCTATGGGATGTTTGAAGTTTAGGATCTATCGCGTGTTCCTTCCTTCCTTCCTTCCTTGCTTCCTTCCTTTGCATCCCTTATGCTTAGTGTCTTGTTTTAGGTCTAGAGGATAAATTGAAGAACATGAAGGTCTCAGCGCTTTAAATGCTTGAAGTGAGTCCTGCTGTAGCCTTTGTTTACGATAAGTTAGGGCAGTGTAACAGAGTAAAACGTGCGTAATTCATTATGAAAACAATGAGTGCAACAGAACGAACGAACCAACATCACACACATACTACAAAGATCGACGTGGAGATGGTTTTTGGATGGCCTGTGGTTTAAACAAGAAACAACTGAAACCATGTGAGATGCGTGTTCTCTTCAGTAAAACACAGCTCTAGGTTTCTTCAATTGGCCCAAACAAACGAAAGGAAAAAAAGTGCGTGTTTAATTCAACCAAGCAGAACCGCACAATAAAACGCAAAGGAGTGAACTTAAATGAAGCGCATGCGTGGCTTCATTGTTATTAATAAAACATGGGTGCCGGGAATTGAAAAGATAATTACCTAGAGTTCTGTCATCTTCTAACAATCAAAGCGTAAACGAAAAGAAATACGAACAGTGAACACAAGAGAATAGAGTAAATCGAAAAAAGGAACCCACAAAAGAACAAAACATGGTTTTCATCACTGCATTACTTTTGCTTCATCCGTGCTTGTGCTTTTCGATTTGTATCTCTTGGTCTAGAGATCTATACTGTGGCCGTTTGCTCAAGTAAAAACAGGTGTAGTGACAGCAATGTTTTCTGGGTTTTTTGAGTGACCAAATTTCAGCCACACATGACAAAATAATGAATGAAACAACTGAAGGCTTGCTTTCGTCACGCTGCATTTCATTTCGTTTCATTTCATTTCATTACACTACTATGGCCTTTTCCATTGTACTTTAAGGTGATAAAAATTATCGGCTGTGTTTTTCTTCAATGGAATCAACACACGTACGCCTCGTTACCTTGTTTTATTCCACTGAGTTAAACACAAAAGCGAACCGTACATTGCACTTAATTCATCATCTTCGTCTTTTGGAATTAGTTCGGCTGTGCCAACAGAACAGAAATTGATTAATATAATGGAATGGAATGAAACAAGCGAAACAAATAGAAGAAACCTGACGCATTCGGGATGAACCGCGATTGCACGCAAGCGGGCGGCCCCGATTGAACTCAATCGGCCCCGATTGAACTAAGTCGGGGGCCGGGTTGAAGATTGAAGATTCCTGGAGAAAGTTTTCCAGGAAATCTTCAATCTTCAATCCGGTCCCTGATTGAATTCAACCGGATTGAACTCAATCGGGCCAGGGTAGCCTAAACCCAACCACAAAATGGTACATCAGCAAGCCCCTCCCCTCAAGGATTTACTGTTTTCGTGTGGTGGGGGTCACCCAGCACACGAAGGTGGCAGATCCATGGGGGGGGGTACCATATATACATATATATATATATGTATGTATACTGTGTATAGATATTATGGACATAGTTATTAATATTCAGTGTGACATTATTAGGAGGTGGGGCAGACAGCTTAGGTATGACAGATGATTTGCGTGATCAGCAATTTAGGCCCAGTTCTGTTATTTTTGCATGGGCTTGGCCAGGTACTCAGCACCACCCGAAGGGTGGACGCCAAACTCGAGGTGTCAGCGTCCGGAGATGAGTCTGTTTCCTTCTTCCCTCTGCATTCTGCTTTGCGGTAGCCTTCGGAATCCGACACGCAAGGCGTGCCTCATGGCCATCCAGAAGTTGTCGGGCGAGAACGACATGGAAAGCTTGAAGAAGACGGCACCTGGTCTTGAAAGCAGCCGTATCGAGCTGCAATCTTGCCATGCAGCTGCCATCGCGCTCTGCCGCTGTGCAATCTCCGCAACATATTGAGACATTTTTGCCGTCTTGAGCTTCTGGCTTGATAGTCGTAGTTGGCTTCTTTCGGCAACCCCAGTAAGACCAGACAGACACGTAGAATATCGGAGCCACGAAGCTATTGTACATTCCTACCATTGCCTTCTTCTAGTGCTCCGAGGCCTTCGGAAAGATGTCAAGGTTGACGTCGAGACGAATGTCGTTGCACAGGCGGCATTTGGAACCCTTCACATGACCGAGAGATCCTCTGCGGAACCATACCTCTTCATCTGCTACCGGGATTTTAGTCGCGGCCTCCTGTCAGCCCTTCAACCATCGATGTGCACGCAGCATAGCCGAGAATCCGATATAGCACCAACGGTGCCTTCGTCTTCAGCACAGCTTACAGTTGCGGTCGGAGCATCTATCACAATGGGATGGCAGGCGAAGCGCGCCGGTGGGGCATGCCGGTGCCTTTGCTGTTAATATATATATATATATGTATACATATATATATATACACCTTCACCAGGATGAGCCCTACCCTACTACCTCCGCTGTCCTGGGAATGTGGCTTTTTGCTTCCACTTGCTGAAAGGTTGCGCTAACCTGCCCGAAGATCAGTGTCAGTGGCTGCCAGTAACACTTAAGAGGTTGGCAGAGCCAGCGCTCAGAAAGTTACTGAAGCTGTGCAGGAGTCGAAAGCAAAACGCTCAAGAAGGGAGCCGCAGACTGAAGAAGGCCTCCGCGGTTTGGTCAACCTGAGCCACTTGTGACTGTTTGCAGCTAACGGCACATCACTGGCCCAAGTTTAGCCCGGTGCCGAGGTTCGGAAGCTGTGATTCTTTATAGGCAGCTGATCTGCGCGCTTGTGAACCAGGTTTGCCTTGCGTGCACCCGCACCAGTGAGAGTGATACTCGAGCCGTGCATGATTGCGCAATTGAGCGTTCAAAAAACTCCGGCATCCTCGGAATGAGGAAATGGCCTGCTCATAATGCGGCTTTGTCGTGTGTTGGTGATGGCAGTGCATGGCAGACCGGGCCTGAATCTACCTTGAGGCTCTCACTCTCGTGTAGCTGAGCCCTAAACCATATCACGCCATTCGCCGAGCTTCGAGTCGGTTCAGAACCATACGGAGATCTTGGTCAGATGTGGGTTTCAAGGATTTGGATTTAAGGCTTCGGGTTTCAGAAAGAGGAAGCACAGTAGGCCAAGACCCAATCATCCCTCAATCTGGAACCCTAAACCCTAAACCCCTAAACCCCTTAAACCCTGAAGCCCAAAGCGCGAGCCCGAGATCCCAAAGGCTATCCCTGGAGCCCGAATTCCCGTGAAGGGCTTTTAGGGTCTAAAGCTTATTTAAACTACTCGTGTGTTCTTGGATTCAGATTGAATATGTAAACTATGTTCTTGGATTCAGATTGAATATTGAAACTATGTTCTTGGGTTCAGATTGAATTTGGATTGGGGGTTAATCTGCAGGTCTCGGACAAAGTGAAATAATCCACTACCATCGCCTCACCCGGGGACTCAGAGCTCTCAAAGCCAAGGGTGACGGCACAACCATTCGCATCGACAACGCAAATGGTTCCCGTACGCTGCACCGGTTCCGGCTGGGGAATAGGAAAGTCGAGCCCCCTACCAGCCTTGCGAACCCGTGGCCGTGGCAACAGTACTCATGGCATGGCTCAAAGCAGCAACATGAAATATGGTTCTCCGCTTGTCTGACTCTTGTAACTCCACTGCTCCTTCTACTCGCTCGCTCTCTCTCTCTCTCTCTTCTCTTCCTCTCTGCGTTTATATGTATAATACACCAATATATATACACATACATGCATACATACATACATACATACATACATACATACATACATACATGTTTACGATATATACACTCTTGTATGTATGTTTGTATATATATATATATATGTGTATATATGTATGTATGTATGTATGTATGTATGTATCTATGTATGTATGTCGGTAGGTAGGTAGGTAGGTAGGTAGGTAGGTAGGTAGGCAGGTAGGCAGGCAGGCAGGCAGGCAGGTAGGTAGGTAGGTAGGTAGGTAGGTATGTATGTATCTGTGTTTGGGTGTATGTGTATATGTGTATGTGTGTATGTCTGTATGTCTGTATGCATGTATGTATATTTGTGTGTGTATATACATGCATACGCGCACATACACAAATGTATCCACCATGCAGCATGCATTGTGCCGCGGGTGCGAGTGGTCTGCCAGAGGCAGTAACACCGCCCTCACAGCATAGGAAAACACAGTGGTACGAGAAGGATCGAGGTGTCTCGGCTGCCTGTCTCAGTCTGCGCCACAAAAAGCATTCTTTCCACCGCCGTGCAAGGGGAAGAGCTGATTGCTAAGTAGGCCACGCTGTCGATGTTGGATGCTAGAATTACATGCCGCATGCATTGCAGTGTCGCGGGGATTCAAGTCTTGCGACAAGTGCCAGGTGGGCTGACAGACACACTGTCTCCGTCAGCGCAAACTTTGACTCGAGCATTGCTGGAGGTCATACTTAGCAACGTTGGGGAGTCCACGCACGTTGAGCTGCTGCTTGAGAGTGTAGTCGACACGCATTGGACACTTGCTGCCATTGGGAGGCGGATCTTTCAAAGAGGCTTCCCGTTCAGGGAACGGCAAAGCACGAGTTCTTCGAGGCCGTTGGATCCGTTGTTTGATGGGATCGCGGTGAGTTTGCAGCATCCCTGAGTCTTCAAAAGCTTTACCAGACTTTATCATACAGTGCAACGGAACCCAGCCATAGTTTTCATTGTAGTTCCTTATCGGGGTTACCTTATATATAACTTATAGGATCCTACATATATAGTTGGTTCAACCAAAAAAGGAGCTACAATGGAGACTACAGGTGCTGGGACGTATCTGAGCTCCTGCTTCCTGGCTTGTCAGGGCCTGGACGTCTTCACCTTGTACAGGAGGCAGGCATCTTAAGGAGACTCGATACAGGAAGCAGCCAGCTTCCAAGAAGTAGCCAGTTTGATTCATGCAACATGAAGCCGCTCTGCATATTGTGGCAGAGTAGACCCCAAACAGTGAAAGAGCACTTGGGTAGCCTGCTGCTCCGACATCCGAAATGCACACCAGGTTGTGACCTAGAACGCCCACTGCACTGCGGTGGCAACACGAGAGGCACCCCAAATTATGAGACTTTGGAGGCGGGGAAACACGAGTCGCAAACAAACTATGCACAGCTCAGAGGCGGGAGCGCGAGCACCATTTCGGGAGGAGGGCACGCATGAAAGAGCGTGTGGTGGGAAGAGGATGCGCACCCGAAAATACGGAAGGTACTGTCGCAGGAGCAAGATACTCTCACAGACAAATCCATAAACCAACTGATAAGCATGTAGACCTCTGCATGCCCATGCTTTGGCCATCTTTAGCCTAATATTAAAGGCTCTATGGGTGGTATGTTTGCACTAGTGACACTAGTGGTGGGCGAGCCAGACTTGGGCAGCTGTGCTACAGCCGAGGCCACGCGGACCCGAGCTGCCAGAAATCCAGCCGAGGGGTCCCAAGGCACTTGCCGGTTAAGTGTGTCAATGCTGCCACTCCAAAGCAGTCCTCACAGCTGTTGCAATTGCCGTATGATTCTAGCAGCTCTCAGTCCTACTTAAGCAGCAGTTGTGTCCGATTTGCCGGAAATACCAGGATCCAGGCGGTGACGAGCGATGGAACCGCAGGCTTGTTGCGTGACTGCCAGCCTTGCTCTTTCAGACCTTTCGCGACGAACGCCAATTCTTAAAGTCGGGCTCTGCTTCCGCTCTCAAGAGCAAGACATAAGGACCTTTGCAGGGGTTAAGCGGCAGTGGCCTGAACACCTCGAATGATGGCCTGATGAGGTTCTTCATGAGCAAGATACGCCATGGATTCGCTTCATGTTGTGTTTGCGAGGAAGTTCTCCATGATATGGACGGTGATGCCATCTGCACAGGACCCGCGCAAGCAAGATGCAGCCTCAACAGACATGTTGATCGCACAGTCGAGTGACAGAGCAACTGCCTCACTGTCCACCAGGCTGCTGGCCTCGAAGTTCAGTTTCGGTTCCAAGGTCGCAGTCGCACGGGATAAGTCAGAAGAAAAAGCCACCCCGTTCTCGCAGAGGCGAAAATGTACCCGATTTCTGTCTGGGTTGGGAGGTGCTGTCGCAGCGTTTACAACATTTAGAAATACGAGCCGCAGCCTCGCAAATCCCAGCTGCAAAAGCCAGAAAGCCAGGTGCAGACGCCCAATCGGAGCCTTAAGTTTCGTCAGTTCTCTGTTTCTTAGAAAAAACTCGGAGGTGTCATCTCGTGCCCATTCTGCAAGTGTGCGCGGCAAGCCACAGTTTGATTTTGAGCAGGGGGCGCTCAGTACCGGTGCCAAGCAGCATGAAATCGTGGCAGTCTACCGCACGTTCACAAGCATCTCAAGCAAAGCAAGCATAGTCGCATGTTCGGCAAACACCAAGCGAGCTTGTGCTGGTCATAGTCACGCTCAGGGCTTCCTGCCAAGCACGTAAGGAAGTGCTGCACTCCGAGTTGTGAAGGCCAGCAGTGTGGTGACCATGCTGATCCTGAAGTGCAGGATTTTGTTCCTCCAAAAACCTTCGGCGTGGAGTCCACTGCCACTCTGATTCAAGAGGCAGGCCGACCTTAGCACAAGTGCCACACCTGGAGCAGAAGAGATGTTCCTGGGTTGAGGGCTGCAGCTTATCAGTTTTGCTCCCAGAGTATTGCAGCACACACTGGTACAGGGAAGAAAATTTGAAGTGATCTTCAACAGGCTTGCATTCAGTGAATATTCAGTGTGGGGTCAGCTTTGGCATGCTATGAAGCCCAGGATCATCACGACCAACCCATAAGGCATAAAAGGCACTTGGTGCTTTCTTCTGAAGCCTGCCCTGCCCCCTGCGCAGACGGATGCTGAA